CCTCCTCCTTCCCTTACAAAGAGATCAATGTACCATATATACTCTATACTATGCCAAATATATGTTGTTTTACTATTTCAATGGAGTGACTAGCTAATGACCAATGTTTGACAACATGCTGACCGTTCTCATGAACAAACTTTATTATGACCTACACGACCATCATCTGACTTCGTAAATGACTATCAAGTCAGTCACTGTCAGTGAACAGTTTTTAAAACGTCGATAAGTCGACGATTAGTCAATCATTCATTTCCACTGACTATCTTATGACAAATTCGGGACTTCTGCTATTTACTAGTGACATAAGATCCTTTTCTCCCTGCCTTTCCTTCTTCCTTTTCTCTCGTTCTCGATCATGCAAGGGTTTGGTGAAGGCTGTTGGCATAGGGCCTTCCTCAGAATGATGTGTGGCGATCTCCACAGGGTGGATGAAAATAAAATTTTCTCGCCCAGTTGAATGTGGCTCAAAAAAGTCTGAAACCAGTGGGAGCATTTCGACGGCATACTGGCAAAAGCGATTTCAGCATTCAAGTTGCGTTCGCCTGTCAATGCTGCATTGACGTACCTCGATGCTAAACGGAAGAAATCTGCATGTCGGCTGTAAGTCCTTGGCGAGATGTATCTCGCCCTCCAATTTCCTCAGATACATCTCCTGGGTAGCATCATTCGCCGGAACCCACCAAACCGCCAACTCTACTTCGTCTATTTCCTCTATCATGTTCCCACGTTTGCTGACACCCATGTCAGAGAAAGCTACGCCACCAGGATAGGAGGTAGAGGAATTAGCGGGCGATGCAACGGGATCACCGCTAAGTGTGCCAAAGGGAGATGATGGTTCATTTATGAAGTCGTCAGTGGTAGATAAAGCACCCTGGGTATAACGTACCCGCCGTGTGAGCCGCACGACGGGAGATTTGGGCGTCGAGAGAAGGTCCAAGGCATGAACGTCCAAGCATTCGAGGGTCAAGTAGCAAGGAATGACGGTGCCACGGGTATAGCAGAGCTGAGAAAAAATTGTTAATCCTTTGTTCAGACACCCTTAATTAGAGACGATGATAATCACTGGTTTGGCAAGTGAAAGTGTGCATTCCACTTCTACCTCAGGCCGCCGTGGAAGCTTTCCATAAACCATGACTTTGGGCAAAGTTTCCCACCCATCTGGATCTGCCGTTGGTCCAAGAAGCGAAGAACCTTGAATGTAGGCTTGCTGGCGAGCGACTGAAGCTAGGGGAGAGATAATGGAAGGTGTATAGATAATCGCCGTCTTCAATCTAAATAATTCTGTCAATCAAATTGTCCTCGATAAGGTGGGATCAACCAACTTGCTAGTTGGGCGCAGCATCCCATGTGCAATATGTAAGCCTAGTTCATATTGCACATTCGAACGGACGCCGCGCTCCAAAAAAGTTTGAGGGGTGGGATAGACATGAACTGGCAAGCGACCTGAAATGGTGCCTTCTAGTTGTGCCAAAATTCGGCCCTGTTCCTCTGCTGCCCGTTTTAATCTTTCCTTCGAGTCTGACTCTTGTGGGGAGCTTGGCATAGAGAAGGAACTAACTTGATTCCCCGGTCTGTCCCGGTCCAAGGAATCCTTGCGTCGCCCAGCGCCTCTCATAGAGATATACGCCGTTGATACATCATGGGTGTGGTTGTCATTAAAGTGGTCGTTTGTACTCATCTGCGTAGATGGGGCTTTCTTCGAACCTGAAAAGAAAGTGGCATTCGTGGGTATGCTGCGTGAACGGAAGCGAGTAGGTGGTGTGGTGGCAGGTAGAAGCGAACTCGACCTTGTCGGAGAAACCGTAGCATTCGAAGAGCTCGGATTGGGCGACGAGCCAACAGGATCTTGAAGAGTTTGAAACGGTGGAGGGAATGCAGTTGAAGTCGATATATCGACAAGGGTGGGAAATGGGAAAGCAAATGGGAAATGGTGCGCCCCATTGAGTCTCCCATTGAACTTTTTCGTGGACCCTTGGTCTGGGAAATGGGGATCTCCATCGGCGCGTGTCCAGATGCTAACTTGGTGGTCAAGGAATGTGTCAGATTCTTCGGCGAGGTAACCTCTTATGACGCGTCCACGAAGCTAACAAAAAGAATCAACATTTAGACACTTTGAAATAACAAGTCATGGACCAACGGAGACAGTAATTGAGTTTATAGTCTGAGGGCTATCTAGTGTGAACTCGATCAGGCCCGCAACTATGTCGCCGCTTGAAAAGCGGGGAAGGTCCTGATGCTTTGATGAAGCGCCTGGTGACGGTTGGCTGAATACACGGAAGGTAACCCATGGCTTGTTCTTCAACCCACTGCATATGTTGTATATGTGTTCGGCCCTTCCTGTCGTGACTTGCTGGGCTGAAACGCCAAAGGCGCTTGAATATCTGGGAGGGGCGAATGAGTACCGAGGGGGCGACGCTGATCCGACCGATTCTCTAGCACTTAATCTGTTTTGAGAGGACGCGTCCTCAACTGGGGGCGCTGTAATGCCATCGTCAGTGGTGCTCCGTGGATCAATGGTTTCACCATCAGCGTAAGGCTCAACATCATAATCTGATATTGACTGCTGGCTGCCTAGAGCTGAATACCGAGGAAGGCGCGTGCCAACTCTGTTAAGAGGAGCCGTAGTTCGATGAGGGAATCTATTCGGAGACTCCGCGTTCAATGAGTGCTCGGGAGATAGTTGATGTCCTGAATCCATTGTTATACGTTGAAGAAATGCGGAGCTGAGAAAAGTTGGACATGTGTTCAACGGGTTTGACTCCTTTAAGTATGTGTGGATCTGGAAAGGTTGCACTTAATAATGTGGCGTCAATCGACTCCCCATTACTTTATCTTGAATTCAGGTGAACGTGACAAGTGAAGGGGGTTGTAAACGCGTTGGTTCTTGTCTCGCCTTGGCGCGTCAGAAGGGAAAGAGGCTTTAAAAACCGCAACAGGCAGTTCCGCAGTTCCAAGATGGTGGCAGAACAATAAGATGCTAGTTTGGCACATAGTAAGTTACGGTTTGGTATCTCAGATCTGGATTCCATTGAGCAACTCAGCTGCTCGTTGCCTCTACCGTCATCGACACAGATTGTCTACAGCCGCAGAAGACTTTGTTCAACTGACTCATAGCAAACTTGTCCTGGCCCGAAGCTCGGTCACGGAAATGACTGTTGAATAATTAACCGAGTCACGATCGTTCCAGCACTAACCAGCGGTATTGTCAGGTTTGACACCGGTAACTGTGCCGTTGTATGAATCGCTATCACCAACATCGATGATTTGAGTTTGACATCGCACGAGTTGACCACATGACGTCATCAACCCGTCTTCCTCACGTTCCGGTTTGATAGGGTGCGGTTCTGGCCTAACGACGCTTCACTTTCTTGGGAGCGAAAACGGTCTGTCATGCTGGCACTCAACAATAAGCATGTCATGTGTCGTGTGTCGTGTCCAGGTTGACGCCCGTTTAATATTTGATAAATTATTGTCCAACTTTTCTTTTAAAGTGGTCTGTTGAGCTCTGGAATCTGAGCGAGATATGTACCTTGGTCAATGGAAGTGTGCGCAGCAACGTCAACATTTGGCAACCCACGTCGACGACAGAACGCAACGGAGGTGACAAGAAAACAAACAAAATGACAAAGTCAATTAATGAGGATGATGATAAGGGGGGGAAGCTGTTAACGACATCGGCCGGCGTTGTCGCTCAATCGAAACGGTATCACCGGGCTTCGGAGTAGGTCAGACTCGACACTAAGTATCCCCGCTGACATATGTTCCTTTTCTTTCTCCCTGTCCTTCTCCCTTTTCTCTCGTTCTCGATCAGGGAAAGGTTTGGTGAAGGCAGTTGGCATAGGGCCTTCCTCAGAATGATGTGTGGCGATCTCCACAGGGTGTATGAGAATAAACTTTTCTCGCCCAGTTGAATATGGCTCAAAAGATTGTGAAACCAGTGGGAGCATTTCAATGGCATACTGGTAAAAAGCGGGCGATTTCAGCATTCAAGTGCTTTTGCCTGTCAATGATGCACATACATACCTCGACGCTAAACGGAAGGAACCTGCATGTCGGCTGTAAGTCCTTGGCGAGATGTATCTCGCCCTCCAATCTCCTCAGATACATCCCTTGGGTAGCATCACTCGCTGGGACCCACCAAACCGCCAAATCGACTTCGTCTATTTCCTCTGTCATATCCCCACGTTTGCCGCCCCCCATGTTGAAGAAGGACTTGATGGGCGACGCAAAGGGATCACCGCTAAGTGTGCCAAAGGGAGATGATGGTTCATTTAGGACGTCGTCAGTGGTCGATGGAGCACCCGCGGTATAACGTACCCGCCGTGTGAGCCGGACGACGGGAGATTTAGGCGTCGAGAGAAGATCCAGGGCATGAACGTCTAAGCATTCGAGGGTCAAGTAGCAAGGAATGACGGTGCCACGGGTATAACAGAGCTGAGAGAAGATTTGTTAATCCGTTGTTCAGAATCCCTGAATTAGAGACGATGATAATCACTGGTTTGGCAAGTGAAAGTGTACATTCCACTTCTACCTCAGGCCGGCGTGGAAGCTTTCCATAAACCATGACTTTGGGCAGAGTTTGCCACCCATCTGGATCTGCCGCTGGTCCAGGAAGCGAAGAACCTCGGATATAGGCTTGCTGGCGAGCAACTGAAGATAGGGGAGGGATGATGGAAGGTGTATAGATAACCACCGTCTTCAATCTGGATAATTCTGTCAGTCAAATTGTCTTCGATAAGGCGGAATCAACCAACTTGCTAGCTGGGCGCAACATCCCATGCGCAATATGTAAGACCAGTTCGTATTGCACGTTCGCACGGATTCCGCGCTCCGAAAAAGTTTGAGGGGTAGGATAGACATGAACTGGCAAGCGATTTGAAATGCTGCCTTCAATTTGTGCCAGAATTCGGTCCTGTTCTTCTACTGCTCGTTTTAACCTTGCTTTGGAGTCTGACTCTTGTGGGGAACTTGGCGCAGAGAAGCAACTAACTTGATTTTTCCGTCTGTCCTGGTTCAAGGAATCCTTGCGTCGCACAGCGCCTCTCATAGAGATATACGCAGTTGATGCATCATCGGTGTGCGTGTCATTGAACTCGTCGTTTGTGCTCACCTGCGTAGATGGGGCTTTTTTCGAACCTGAAAAAAAAGTAGCATTCGCGGGTATACTTTGTGAACGGAAGCGAGAAGTAGGTGGTGTGGTGGCATATAGGAGCGACCTTGACCTGGTCGGAGAAACTGTAGCATCCGAAGGGATCGAGCTGGACGATGTGCCAACAGGATCTTGAAATGGTGGAGGGAATGCAGTTGAAGTTGATATATCGACAAGGGTGGGAAATGGGAAAGCAAATGGGAATCGGTAAGCCCCATGGAGTCTCCCATTGAACTTTTTGAACACTTGGTCTGGGAAGTGGGGATCCCCATCGGCGCGTGTCCAGATGTTAACTTGATGGTCAAGGAATGTGTCAGCTCCTTCGGTAAGGTAACCTTTTATGACGCGTCCATGAAGCTAACAAAAAGAGTCAACATTAAGACCCGTTAAAATAAGCCATGGACCAACGGAGACAGTAATTGAGTGTATAGTCTGGGGGCTATCCAGTGTTAACTCGACCAGGCCTGCAACCATGTTGCCGCTCGACAAGCGGGGGAAGTCCTGATGTCTTGACGAAGCCCCTAGGGACCGTTGGCTGAACACACGGAAGGTAACCCACGGCTTGTTCTTCAACCCGCTACATATATTGTATGTGCGTTCGGTGTGCGAGACCCCTTCTGTCGTGACTTGCTGGGCTGAAATGCCAAAGACGCTAGAATATCTGGGAGGCGCGGATGAATACCGAAGAGGCGATGGTGATGCGACCGATGCTCTAGCACTTCTGTTTTGATGAGACGTGTCCTTGACTGGGGGCATTGTAATACCATCGTCACCAGCATGATCTGTTATTGACTTCTGGCTACCCAGAGCTGAATATCGAGGTAGGCGCGTGTCAATGTTGTTGAGACAAGCCGTGGTTGTGATACGATGAGGAAATTTATTCGGAGACTCCGACGTGGTCAATGGGTGCTGGCGAGATGCTCGATGTCCTGGATCCATTTGTTATATGTCGCCTTTTTGAAAGAGTGCGGAACTGAGAGACATCTCTCCACCGTTGAACTGGTTGATCCCTTCAAGTATGCGTTGAAGTGTGGATCCAGATTCCAGAAAGATAGCACATAATAATGTGCGTGCCATGGTGATAAGATGACAATCGACTCTATCACTTCCTGTTAAATTCAGGTCAAGGGGGTTGTACACGCGTTTTTGCCTCGCCTTTGGGCGTCAGAAGGGAAAGAGAGCTTCAAAACTCCAGTTCAGCAGTTCTAATATGGTGGTGGAACAATAGTGGAATGCAGAGTTGACGTCGCGGCCGCAATGCTACGCTTTTTTTCACCACGCGACAACTTTCCTTAGTGAATCAACTCCGACAGGTAAATGCCCTCGCTACAACCGACCGTCGACACACCCGCTACAGCCTTGACTGAGTTCCAAATCCTTGATGGCCACATAGCATGCTCCGTACATACCAGATCTTTTACATGAGGAACACCGTAAAATTCCCAAAATGTGTGAGAATCTCAATCTCCTTTTTACTGAGTGGTATCTCTGTTATATAGAAATTAGGTATGGTATCACGTATAGAGGTAATTTAACAGGAAAGTATGTCTCAATTTGAAGTCCGCCCCAAGTCCGCCCGATTGGTTAGGCCCTCACGACAGAAAGCGATACAAAGTCCAACTTTCGCAGATTTTCTGTATCGTGGGATTTAGTGGACAAGTTGTCGCGACCCATTTTAGCGGCCGCGACGTCAACTCTGCATTCCACTAATAAGATGCCGGGGCACATGATCGATTGATCAGACATCATCGCAACAGTTGCGGCAGTCGACTGTCTAACTCCTCGTTTCCTCTGAATAGTGTTGCCGCAAAGTAAAGTGCTTTAAGCACTAAAGTGCCTTTAAAGCACTTTATGTCCATATTCGGCGCTTTAAGGTACTTTAAGGTAAGGCTGTGCATTTGGGCAACGCCGGCTGCGTGAAATCTGGCCGGATATCAGTATGCAAGATGTGCGCGCGTGAGCGCGATCCATGAGTTCAAAAGTGAATAATTGTGTCGAAGCTTCAGGACAGCATCGCCAATGGTCCCGTCAAAAAATTGAGGAAGGAAAGAAAAACGAGGCGTTTGGTGAAAGGGGTTTATGCGTGGTCACGGTGCTCCTCCATGATATGGACATTGGGTCAATATCAGGTGGTCTTCCGCATATCTGTGCCAGTGGTTGACCGTGTTCTTGAGCTTTGGCCAGCTGGTATCCACATTGCGTTTTCAAATCTGTTTCTGTCTTTGTGTCAAAAAACGCGACCTCCAACACGGAACTTCTTTCAAATAAGTTCAATAGAGGTCACATAGAGGTCCTTGCATACCCTTTCAATTTTTTCCAAGCATCATGTTAGCACCACTCATAATATACTGTGTTCTCTACATTACTTGCTTGTATCTAATTAGCTAGGGAAGTGGCGAGCCTCTGTTCTGACAAGAAGGCTGTGCGCAGTCAACCGAAAATGGAAACCGCTTTAAAGCAACTTTAGTCTTAAAGTCCTTTAAAGTCGGAAATAGCCGACTTTAAAGGACTTTGAACTTTGCTTTGCGGCAACACTACCTCTGAATCCCTAAATACGACACGCTCTTATAGTTTGTCTACGGCCGCAGAAGACTTTATTCGACTGACTCATCGCAAACTTGTCCTGGCCCATGTTAGGCCAAAATCGTACGGGGTCACAGCTTGAATGACTTCATTGAATAATTCACCGAGTCGTTCAATAGGACCCTCAGGTCTACTACTGGTGACTGCGTGTGCCGCTCTATGAACCGCTATCACCCATCGATGATTTGACTTCGACATCATGGTACGAGTTGAACGTTGACCACCTGTTGTTACCACTATGCACGTCAACCCGTCTTCAAGTTGATTGAGACCTGCAACAACCCAGCGCTACGCTCAAAACCTGCTCATGTTGTCATTGTTCCGGGTTGATGGGGTACTACACTTTGGGCTTAATGGTGCTTCACTTCCTTGGGCGCGAAATCTCTTGTGGCTAAAAATGCACTCAACAATAAGCATGTCATGCTAGTGTTGCCGCGGCTCCGGCTCAGAGCCAGCTGAAGCCAGGAGCCGAGCCGAGTTTAGCCGAAGCCCAGCCAGAACTGTTGAGTGATGACTCCGACGGCTCGGCTAATTTCGGCTCCGGCTAAGAAGCTGGCTTGAGCTGACTAAGCCAGTTATAAATAGTGATTGTCTTGCAATAAGGTCAAGAATATACATTGCCATCAATATAGGCGTAAAACATACATAAAGAGTCTCTAAACATATCTAAGGTATCTTATCCCCGGGTAACTACAAGTTCATTGGTGGTGATTTGGACATCAACCTTTCTCAAAACCTTTGTTGATTTCAAATGAGAGCAGCCGCATATATCTTCACCAAAAACCTTGATCCTAAACTGTGACCCCTTATGCGGGCTGTCAAATGCGGTAACGACTTGGGCTTTGCACTCCGGCCTTTCAGGTATCAAGTACGGAAACGGCACTTCCACCACTGTGAAACCGAGTTGGACCTTAACCACATCTCTGACCACTCCCTTGAACTCCCCGCACATATTTTCGTACTTGCCATCATGGAAATTAGAGCAGGAGTTGATGAGACGAAGGCTCAGTCTCATGGTGGCAAAGCGGTTATCTCTAAGCCAATATGGAGGGGCTGCCATAATTGCGTCAGTATATATATTGACTCTGAATCAAAAATATAATTGCCATAATTGCCATGGAGAGGGGTATCTGAGCTTGGGTTCCAAGCTGGGCTTGTCGGGATATCTTGTGAGTTAGGAAGCGGAGTAGACGGCCCCGCAATGGTCGGAGTCTGCACGAGGGCAGCAGGATATGCGGCTGAGGGTTGCGGATCCGGCAAGGGCAGACCAGGGAACAAAAAGCTTGCCAAAGTACCGGGCGGAGGCACTGGTTCAAGTGGGTAAGAGAAATCGGTCAGAAGCTCTCGAGGCCTTGGGGGCTGAAGCCTTTCGTCAGCACTGGAAGCTAATTAGCATCGATTTCAGAAAGAAAAAAAAGCAAAAGGGCTTGCATGATGTGTAGCGCAGAGATGTCCAAAATTTGTGGGCATTGGAGGAGCGCCTCGAGTTCGACCAAAAGCCTTTTCTCACCAACTGTGCTTTTTATTCTGCCTCGGTAAGTTCTAAAATTGCCTTGGGTTACCATTATGCGTTTTCCTACAAGATGACTGTTCGAGTCCCCCTTCATGACTCGCTTTTGTGCAGCTGTCAAGGACTCCGGGGATTCCGTTGCGAAGACAAAGGGGGAGCTGAAGAACTCGACATTCCCAGGGGATACCTCTACCTAAAAGATGACGGATTGTCAGAGTATGTATTGTAAAAACGAAACATTTACCTCTGTTCCGGTCCTGTCATTGAAGACACACACATAGTCATTGTCTTGATTTACTACCCAGCCCGTAACACCTTGGTGGTCTCCCGAAAGAATGCACACTTCGTCCCCTACTTTAAGATGTTTTCGAAGCGACGAAAAGGGTATGGTAATTGTCACATCATGCGTTGTCAAAAACACAACAGCCTCATTGTCTTTAATGTCAACAATCATTCCAAAAGCCGCCCTCGAATCTCCGTCAGTAATTTTCACTCCATCGCCTATCTGAAGAATCCTGGCCGACATTCTCGCCATTGTGTGCTGTCGGACGTTGAGAGGGATGTCCGAACAGGCGCTAAACAGATCGAATTCTTTCGGTGATGGTACCACATCTTCAGTGGTATATCAATCAGTGTCGAGGTCCGGGAAGTACGCATATCCATCGCCATCGTAAAGAACTCCTCGGAATAATGATAAGTTGTTTCGTGTTTGGAATGCCTGACAAAACCGTTGCTTGGCCAGTGTTGGATTGAACAGGGCTTGGGGAGGTCACCCTGGTGCTGAAGCTCTTCGGTTTAGCTTGCGTTCAGGTTTGTAGAATGCTGCGAACTCGTCGTCCGTCTCATTGTTTCAGTCCTCATGTGTGATCAGCCGGCTTCCTTTGACTTTGGTGGAAGGTGGGTCATAGGTCATGTGTGGTACCACGAGGACATTGATGAGTAAGGATGTGACCTCCTGAATGAAGGCGATATCTCCTTTGTAGATGCCGCGGTGCAGCCTCACCCAGGAATGACACTTTGGTTGAAAGGTGTTGGGAAGAGTGAAGATGGAGGGGTTAGGATCCAGGATGTTGAAAGTCTTTGAGGCCAGCACGTTTGATATGCCGTTACAGACTTCGCGAATCATTTCTTTAGAACCACCTTCGAAAAAGACTCTGCCGGGTAGTGCTTTCCAACCAAAGACTGCTGGGGGTCGTAAGTGTGCAGAAAACCTCTCGTCCATGAGGCGCCGATGGATTCGAAAGACTATCTGCTCCTCATAACCAGGCTAAGTATAAA